AGTCATCTACTCCGTCCGTTATCCTTTTTCTTGCAGGATACTTAATGATCCTATAAACACTGGACCGACATACTCCAGAAATATGTGCTACCTTACATATAACTTCGTCCACGACCAAATCGGGTTTTTTCTTGAATTTGGTTTTTGTATATATTTAATATTATTTGTTTTTCATTTGCACTAAAATGTAGCTTCTTAGCCCTTTTTTTTGGGTGGGGTTGCGCTGATGTCAGCCACTTCGTCGGCTTTATCTGTGTCAGACATCGTATCTTAGGCAATATATAAACAATACGTTCCACTCTCGAAAAACGAGTATACGCTACTGAATGCGTAATGCGTATGCAATGCAATCCTGTGCGTGAATTAACTGTTAGATGCCTGTCGTGTCATCTACAATCACGTTTACAAGTCCAAACCTGTGCAGATTCGTAGAGCGCCGACTACTGCTAGTGACTTTGAATTTGTCTGTAGATCGATGTTACTCCAGTCAATTTAGGTTCAAAGCGGATGTTTTCTAAACCAATTTGTTGTTCCTACATCAAAAATATATCGATGATGTTTTGTACTGGGAGCTCATGAAAGATCAAGGTAACTTATTTTAACAGTCATCCTTTTTCTAGTCTCAAGATGACACGAAAAAGGGTCTGTGGATTCACTAGAAATACACTGCCGAGGATGTTTAGACCTAAAGTGACTGGAGTATATCCGTGGATGCTTTCGAGGGATCTGTTCATGTGCTGATCACTGTTTACGTTTAATGTCTTTCTTCAGCGCCCAGAGTATAGGTACATATTTGATGAACATATCTATTTTTAGCTAAAATGTGATTGCAAATTTTTATTTTTATGTATTTTACAGAGCTGCTGTTCAAAAACTTTCAGGTTTTTTTTCAGAATCACAGCTCAAATATTTGTATCAAGCTTTGGAGCGGATACACCCCCAATTTCAGGAATGGCATACGTTATAGATACTCCCGAGTGTGATAAACGTGAAATAATGAATGTTGATGATAATGATTTGTATAGGCAACTGGATAGCTGCATGAATGTTTTATTGGGCATACACGAGTCGGGTAAAGATAGAGGTTGAATAGGAACAATAGAAACATGTTAAGGATGGTTAAAGTATGCCGCAATACATGAAAATTGCAGTCCAACGAACATCACATTTTTACAGGGTAAGCATTGGAGAGTATGGCATCAAGAAGGTTGGTTTTGAACTTTACAAGCCACTGACATATAGATAGAATTGTTAAGTATCTTGGGAACGTTCCCAAGAGATGTAATAAAATAATAATAAAATAAATACAGAGTCAACCTACTTGATGTTTCAAAATAAGCAGAGGTGTTATTTCAATGGGAATACTTATGTGATCTCTCTTTTTAGATAAATCTGTGAATAGTAGTATGGTCTACTGTCAATATACTGATGAAGTTTTACAAAATACAGCCAGGTACCGAGCAAAAGCTTCTAAAAAGGTTCACGATTTTCATACAACTTTCGGAGAAATTAAGAAGAAATTGAGGGACATATTTGGGAAGCTAACACGATGACACAAACAGTTATATGAATATCAATTGAACTGATAATCGAAATAATGAACAGGTAGTTTTTTACATAATCATGAACTTATTTATTCTTCATGTTTCACTGACGTCTTACACGATAGGTCAACCTTATCAGAAACTATAATTTCTGAAACCTATTGCGAAAAGCAGCGGCAGAATAAGAGAAAGCTTTCACCAAATTTTACTTTTCTAACAACTTATTAGAAAGATGTCAGTGAACTACGAGGGGCGTGTTTAAAGGAAGAACCAATCCCGCATACTGTATCCTGACCGTTCAGTCTCATACACTCTTGGCCAGCCTCTCACTACGCCGCTATAAAACAACTAATTTTCCATCAGTTTGGTTGGAGAAATGCACATTAAAAAGGGCCATAGAGCATTGTTTCTACTTTCAAACATTTCTTATAAGCGCAAAAACTTTGAAGATACGCGAAAAAATTCTTAAGGAATTTCAAGAAAACATTGAAAAATCGCAACGTAACACCTCTACACAGTTTATCAAGTAAATACTATCATTTACGGTATGTATTTTGAACTGTTAATTTAGCTTATTACACGGCTAGTTTTCAAAATTATTTTGCAAAAAACAACGATTTTTTTATAGTTTTACATCCATTTTCCTTAAAAATGATCATTTCCATTGATGTCTTCAATTTTTTTACAAAAAAAGATAATTTCGGTCTTTATGTGCTTAAATATATTCTTACCAAAATTCATACTCGCTTATCGCTGCCTTGGGCTATGCTGGCTATGCGGGGTGCCATCTAAAAATCTCAGCATGTTAAGGGATCTTTACACTATTGTAGTAATACACTGTATAGGAATATGCAAATAAAAAGAAAAAATTACAAGGAAGATAGATAAATAAAATACTTATATCGTCAAAGTCATCGTAGTAAAGAATGTCACAGTTGTCACGGAAACGTTTACAATAAAGATTTTGTATTTTCGATTGGCGAGAGAAATATGGGGGATTATCATAAGGGCATCTAATTTTTCCGAAAAAATCGAAAAAAAGGTATGTAATATTTCAACAACAAACATGAGTGCTGGTAACAAAAATCCGAGTCGAGGACCACAGGAAAAAAATTAGATGCCCGAATAGTATTTGACAAGATCATTTCCTGAGTCATATATCATATACTCGTACATAGCTTATAAAATTGATTGCCAATAAAATCGGAAAAGTTGTTTAGCGTCGTTTCTTGGTGTTTTAGCAGACCGTAATTACTTGTTATCAATCAATCATATTGCAATTTTTGGTGACAAATTTTGCCGCGGGTAAACTCGAAAAAACCTGCTGACAGGTGCTGTCATACAATTTTTCCATCTAGAAGCCATTTGTAATTCAAAATTGCGCGTTTCTGTTTGGTAGAAATTAAGGCCCGTATCGTCAGTCGTCCCTACAATTGTAGGGCGCGTTTATGGCCTCCTTGATTGTCATACTCCTTTCTCTCCTTCAAAAATTTCTAGATAACACTTGTCCCATGTCAGCGTCAGCGCTCTTTTACTGTGATTTGTTTGCTTTTTAAATTCTAGGAAATTTCAGGCTGATAAAACATGATATAACTCGAAAGCAAGCACAATTTGATGCAAATAAATGTTTGTGACATAACCTCAAAATAGAGCGCTGACACGGAGAAGTAGAAAACTATGACAATCAAGGAGGCCATAAACGAGCCCTACACTTGTAGGGACGACTGACGATACGGGCCTAAGACGAGGGAAATAGTCAACATGAAAACCACGGGACAAAAGTTTCAGATGCTACAATAACCGAAAACTGGTAACACGTCTTGACTTGTAAATGCTCATGGTGACTGTGTTAAAAATTAAAAAAATGTTCATATTTTAGTTTGTGATACAATTTACATTCATAAATAAAATTTCTCCGACTCGAATACAAAACGGTTCTTACTTAAAAAATGACCCTCGTAGAAACCGTTACTTCAATGCCACTTTTTTTTAGGTAAACAAAACTGTGGCATGCTGGGGGATTATAGATTTTCATTGCACAAATGGACCCAGAATTGTGGAACGACTTGATTTTTCTTCACCTGATACAATTAATCTGAACAGTGACGGCTTAGGTTTTCTAGGGGTTTCCCTCGCCCAAGTGCGAATGCAGTCACCGAAAACCATATTCCCCTTAATAAATAGCAGAGAAGATGAAAATCATAGTTCTCCTATTGATGATCATGTAATTTAAGATCAAATAGATATTAAATATATTTATAAAGTAAAACTTTGTTTTTTTCCATAGAAGAAGTAGGCCAAACATATTTTATCCCCTTAAAGCCCTGTTCATACAGGTGTCGTCACCTGTCAGTGACCGTGTCCAGGATCTTGCCACACAAATTCCGCTCATTCTACTATGCTATATACGAGTAGACTAAATTCACATGACCGGATCCCCGACACAGTCACCGAGAGAATAACTGTATATGAGCTTGAAAAAAAACTGTAGATAACTATAGAATATTATTTAAAAAACTAGAAGTCTAAATTAGTTTTGATATAACACGTTACTTACCTATTTAGTTTTTTGGCCACGTATTTTCATAAAGATAAAGATGATTCAGTTGCAAATATGATTTTAATACTTAGCTAGCATTTATTTATTACCACTTCACAGTCTGCCAAAAATCATTAAGTCCATCAAGTTTCGATTTTCGATAGTTAGGAAAAATTTTCCATTCTGACCTACTGTTTATAAGAGCATCATTTCAAAAATCCGTATTCCACTTTCAATGCATGGGTATTGTACATAACTGAATTTTATGAGATCTTTCAAGTTTAAAATCCAATTATCTGGAAACTATCATTTTGAGCTTAACGATTTTTGCCAGAACGCCGACGATTTATGGCAATAAATTTTGTATAGTGAACAATAAAAAACTCACTTTGTTTATACATTTCATATATCATTATCATGAATTGCTGCTTGCTTGAAGTCAATGCAGTTCTTGTGAGGACGGTTTTTCTTTGGGGATTCAGGTACTTTACCAGCTTTGCATTGAGAAGATAAGCTATTTACCGTTGACAAACTTATTTTCAATGAATCAGCGATACGCTGTTAAGAAAATACATAGATTAATAAATTACTACCTAAAGCATCTATTACACAGGGCGAGATTAGTAGCCGATCGCCGGCGAGTAGCGAGTGAGCGAGTAGAACACGCTCAGCGAGAGCAAATTACACAGCGCTAGTAAAATCGCTTTACTCGCATCGTATTGAACCTTTGAAAAGTGTTTAGTTTGTATCTTTTGTGCGATAATAGAATCTAAAATGGCTGTTAAATGGAACAGTAATCATATTATACAGTTCTTAAAAGTCTATGAATAATTTCCCGTTTATGGAATATAAAACACAAAGATGTTTTATTCAAGAAAATGTGGGAGCAATTAGAGGACAAAGGGCTTTTGAAAGGAATGGACGAAAAACAACTAGAAAACAAAATAAAGTATTTAAAAGATGTGTTTCGTCAAGAACTGACCAAGATAGAACGAAGCAAAAAAAGTGGCTGTGGAACAGAGGATATTTATACCCCAAAGCTAACATGGTTTGAAGCTGCCCATTTTTTCGTTGAAGTTTTGTCAACAAGGCATAGTAATTCAAACTTGGTAACGAGATTTTAGAGCTATATATTTTTTATTCATACTTAAGCAAATTATACATAACAAATAAAGTTAAATTTCCTTTAACACTTTGAGCAGAATTAATTTGAAAAATAATAAATCACTTAAAAATATAAAAATTGTTCAAGCTAATTCCAATCCCACTTTTTTCCATTGCCACGGTAAAGGATTGTCTTCCATAAAATACTTAGCGTATTTGCGTCTTACTTCCTCTGCAGAATTTTTGTAGTTGTTGCTTCCCAAATGACTGACCGTTGGCAGATTATTCACGTGGTTTCTCCATTGCCCAAAAGTAATATTGCCCGTGTTAAGATCCTCTCTATCCACGGCATTTTCAGGAAAATAAGTATTTGGGCTACTTTTTTTCAGCCAGTTGTGGAGACTACATGCTGCCAAAATAACATTGTCAATTGTAGTTTCTTTTAATTGAATTGGTCTTGAAAATATTCTGAAGCGCCATACAAGAATACCAAATGCATTTTCCGATACTCTTCTTGCGCGAGAGAGTCGGTAGTTGAATATCCTTTCAGTATTATTAAGCTGTGACTTACTGTAGGGTTTCATTAAGTTGGTTCTCAATGGAAAGGCATCGTCCCCAACAATGACCGAATTTTCAGGCATGTTAAGTGTGTTATTTTGCATTGCTATGTTCAAAGTACTGTCTCTAAATATTGCACTGTCACTAGCTCGGCCGTTTGCTCCAATATCAATGTAAGTAAAGCAATAATCTGCGTCCACCATTGCGAATAACACGATACTATATGTTTTTTTGTAATTAAAGAACATTGACCCAGACTTGGGAGGTTTTTTAATCAGAACATGCTTGCCATCAATTGCTCCACAACATCTTGGGAAATTCCAACGAAGGAAAAAATTGTATTGAATTTGTTTCCATTCATTGCTTGTTGAAGGCATCTGCAAGAAAAAAATATGATTTAAAAAATTTGTTCAATTCTTAAATCAAGCAAAAAGTTAAAAAAATCTTTACAAATTTGTTCTAATTTTTTTCAGACTCTACCCAGCACACAAAATATATCTGAGGAAATCTCAAATTCTCAAATTGAACAGCGTGAACAAAATATAAAACCCTCAGAGGGGATGGGACCCCCTAAATCGAAAAAAGGGTGAGAAAACAGGCAGATCCAGAAATTGGCGATGCAATCAGTCAGTTGAATAAAATAGCTGAAAATGTATCAGAAGGAAAACCGTACGACGAATTTGGAAAGTATGTAGCTGCAGAGCTGCGTCAATTACCCCAACGTGAGGCTATTTTATTGCAGCAAGAAATTCAGAATTCTATTACACGTGTAAAGCTAATGTGTTTGGGAAATGATAATCAACTAAATAATTACTACAGAGAGCCCCTTCAAGTGCAAACTTTTTCACCGTTATCCTACCCCAGTAATCCCAGCCCTGCCTCATCAGCAACATATGAAGCAAATGTGCAAAATGACAAAGATAGCGTTTATGGTAACGATGTTATTCATCAAGCACTATTAAATACATTTTCGGGGGCAGAGTTTGAAATAGTAGAAGAAGTTTCTCAATGAAATAGATTCTATTTTTCATATAATTATAAAAATATTTTGTTTTATAAGTATAAGTACTGTGTTAAAAATAAATTGATACTTAAATTAAACCTACCTTTATATATGGCTTTAGGACCTGACAAATTGCTGCAAGTACTTCGGGTACAAACAATGAAATTGTACATTCAGGCACTCGAAATAAATATTCTAGTGATGTGAACGAATCACCAGTTGCCAAAAAGCGTAGGGTTATTTCTAGTTTTGTAGCAGTTGGAATCGCCATCCTCTTTTTTGTGTCTTTTTTGCGGATTGTTTCGTCAACCATTTGTAATAGTACATTAAACTGTTCATTGCTCATTCTCAAAACATTCCTATATGCCACAGGATCTTCATCCTTTAATTGTCTTAATAAAATATTAGAAGCCCCATGTGTGTCCCGTTTTGAAATCCAATTCCTGACCCACATCCGTCTCGCTTTCCTTTTTTTCTGCTTTAACCGTTCTTGAAGTTTTTTCCGAATTAAAAGGCCGACAAAAACAATTCCTACACGCACAATATCGGCCATTTTATCCAACTAGTCGGGCTTTAGCTTATTACACATAGCGTTTTCACTCGTCAGAGAGAAAAATTGCGAGCGAGTAGCGAGAAAAGTAGGTCGATGTTCAACATTACTCGCTGGGAAAAAGCGAGCCGCAAGTTTACTAGCAGCTGCGATTACATTTGACGATTTTTATAGCAGCGAGTAAATTCGCTGACGAGTAACTACTAATCTCGCCCTGTGTAATAGATGCTTTACGGACTGTAATGGCAATAATGGAGCTCCATGATCTCGTTGGGTCTCAAAATATTTCGTCACAGACGACGAATGACGAATTCTTTCGCCTGTCGACCCAGACATTTCGGCATTTTAGCAAAATGCTTAAAAGAACACGTCAAAGTTATGAAAAAATGTTTTTAAATCTGTAGTTTCCAGGTTTCCACCCGAATGTCGGATGTCTGGCAACGCTGATGCATGAGCGGCAGTGCTAGTGATGGCAGAAGCCAGCGTTGCAACTCAACGATTGTACGGATACGGAAAGCAGAGTCATCAAAGTAATCATTTCGTGCTCTGATTGATACTCGTTACTTCGAGTATCTATAACGAATAGGTACTTTTTCAGCACCTATAGTCAAAACGTAATGGATTCTCGTGAAAAATACTTCAAGCTTCTCCTTAGATATCAGAGATAATTACCGACTATTGTAAACGCAGCTTCGCCTAATAAGTTCGTCTTCTACTGTTCAATTCAATACTTCAATATGGTTAGGATTTGTATACGCTCATCCCTACAAATCGACTTCACTACCCTCTCCACAATAGTTTGAGCATTTGACATTTATTATCTTTTGACATTTAAAATTATGTAATGCGACATTGCCAGATCTCAGATTTGTCTAAGGGCTACTACACACTATTGAAAAATTCTGGATGACGCTGTCGCTTCACGGACGCTGACATCAAGCGTTAAGTGGAGATCTTTTGGTTGGTGAACAGGTCCAAAGAAAAAGTTATGACTCATTCGTTCTCAGTTCTACATCCATATCCACATTTATATTGATATACTGGATAAACGTTTGCTTTGGCAGCTCGATGCCGCTAGTCTATCTTGCGACTTACAGATCATTGAACTATGACATGGCAACGTTGCGGCTGACATCTACTAGTGCATTGTCAAAGCTTACAAATATTTGCAGCTTTCTAGTGAAATGAAATCGCTAGCTAAACAAATATCCAATTGATGACGCTTTTGTAACAGTTATGGTGACATCTAGCGACGCGTGCTTGAAGCTGGAGCTGTTGAATAGGAGATTTCTAAGTTGGTTAAGTGATTGTTCAATAGATGTCTAGTAGATGGCGCACCCAAATTATCATACGAGGATGGTAAGGTTAGTTTATATTCTCGTATCTACCTTGGTAGTAGAACAAATATGTCATATTGGTGTCTGTATCCAAATAATACAATATTACCCTGCAAAAACCGATCATTGACAGTTAAATTGCTTAAAATGAAGATACAAGATTAAATAAAAAGAGACGTCTTGAAATATTCAGTAGTAGATGCAGTACCTTACTATTTAGGCCGCGTTTCCCATATGAAAGGACCATATAAAATTGCTCCACAAAATATGTATGGAATGAAAAAAGGGCGTACCTAGTGGGCGGCAAGGGGCAGCTGCCTAATTCCTTACCTGAGCTCGGCCAAAATTAAATGGAGAGAACATTTTTTACAAAAATTTAATTATCCATTCAGGGTTCTCCAAAAGTTGAATCAATATCTATTAGATGAGAAATTACTAGGATTTGTTGAAATCTGTGTTAGATACAGACCTAATTTTTCCAAAAGCACTATAAGTATATGGTACGTGTGCTTCAAATTCGAAACTCGCCTTTGGGATCTCGGAAACGATAAAACGAATGTCACACAATCAGTATTTAATGTGGTCCGTAGCACCAGTGGATTTCTGTGAAACGTTTATGCAACAATAATTACTGACCATGACATGACAAATATATTCGCGGATCACAATAATTACTGATTTTCTGACAGTCGCCTAAATGACTCGGAGTACTTTATGGGGGCAAGTTGCTTTGGTAAAAAAAGAACGTAGACAGTTTGGAAATTCAAAATATTCCCGAATTTACCCTTTACTCTTTTTTATTTTTTGGTGGCGTTAGTCTGGAACAAAACTTTTCAAACATCCACATTGTCTACAAACTTCAAACAAAGGACACAATAAAATTGCAACTTTTTCTCGTCCACACGATGATATAATCTGATGTTTCATCTCTTAGTTTTTTAAAATTATACCGTCTTCAATGTCTTCATTATTACCCTAGAATAATATAGATGAGTTACATTATGGTGTTCCTCATTCGATGAGTTTAAAACACCTATACTAAGTGACATATAAATCCAAACACCCAGTTTAAATGGTTTTATTTTAATAAAATTTTGTATAAGTACTTAATGAAGCATAATAAGTAAATGTTAAAAATTTAAAAATGATTGCACTGCTTTAAAGCCCTTTGACCTTTAATAATGTGTGGATGCACCCTGATGTGCTACGCATTCTCCAACGCGCCTAGGCATGCTTCTGATCAGGTGGTCAATGTCCTCCTGAGGTATCTCATTTCAGGCAACCACCAACTCCTCTCGAAGTGCTTCTAGAGTCTGAGGAGGACGTTGCAAATTGAGCAATCTCCTATCCATCATATCCCACACGTGCTCAATTGGGGATAAGTCGGGAGATCTTGGTGGCCATGGTAACAATGTGACATCATTATGTTGAAAGAAGTCTATTGTGACTCTTGCAACATGTGGTCGGGCATTATCTTGTTGGAAAGTTGGATCTGCCAGGGTGCCAAGATAGGGTAAAAGATGGGGTTCTAGAACTTCGTGGATATAACGCTGCGCGTTCATGTTACCTCTGATGAAGATTAAAGGTGTCCTGGAACCATAAGCTATAGCACCCCAAACCATAACTCCAACAGTGTGATGAACATGTCTTTCAACAAAAAACTGTGGATTCCTCCTTTCACCACGTCGCCTTCTAACCCTGGCACGACCATCGTGCATGCCTAAACAAAATCGAGACTCGTCACTAAAGACAATACTGTTCCATTCCTGATCCCAGAGTGACCGTTGTCTGCACCACTCAAGGCGATTACGTCGGTGTTCTCGAGTTAAAGCGAGGACCCAGTGTGGCCGGTATGAAAACAAGCCAAAACTTCTCATTCGTCGGTAAACACTTCGCATGCCAATAGGTCTTCCGTGTTCTGCAAACCATTCATTTGCAATGGACCTGGTAGTGGAGAAACGGTCCCTTAAGGCCAATAATCTTAGGCGGCGATCTTCACGGTCTGTTGTTCTACGGCGGCGTCCAGTGCCCCTTGCTCTTTGCGTACGGCCTTCTCGAAGCCATGCCTGACAACACCTAACCACAGTGTCTACACTTCTTTGCACTCTAACCGCAATTGCCCGAAAAGAAAGTCCAGCTTCCCGAAGTCCCACTATACGGCCCCTATCAAACTCACTAAGTTGACGAAATCGTACAGGTCTCCGTACTCTAGGCATCGTAACCGATCGTAAAGGATGTCAAGAGCCAAAATCCGCCAACGTTGATTCTTTACTGCGGCTGAAATATTCATTTTTAGAGCGTTAGTGAATCAAAAAAAAGCAGTATAAAAACCGGAATGTTCAACTGATAAGGCTGAAAATTTTTTCACTTGTTATTTACATTCACCAACTTTTATTAAAATAAAACCATTTAAACTGGGTGTTCGGATTTATATGTCACTTAGTATATATGAAGACTTGAACTATATGACTTGACGTTTTATATCAATGCGTAACATGTTATCATCTTTGAGATTCTCAGGCAACATTTTTTTTACAAAAATGTATGATATGCTATAATATTTGAAATCAGAATTAAAAGCTATTCACCTATGCAAAATCAAAGTTGAAATGGGGGATAAGAGACGAAAAATCATATAAATGTTCTATTTTTACCAACCAGCAGAGAGCAATGTCAATGGGCAGCTTATTTTGAAATCCTACCTCAAATAAATTCAGGAAAAATTATAAACGATTTTCTGAAAATTCGTTTCATTTTCCGTGTATCTCTAAAGATAC